AAAAGGGATTTTGGCTTCTTAAAATCTGGAGCCCCCTTTCGATTCTACAAGAAACAGCAATACACACACAAGAAGATCATGTACCTAGTGGGGGGGGCGAAGCGCTCTTATTACAAAGGAGGGAGAGAGGAAAAAAAGAATTACATGGGTGTTAATATCGGGATTTTTTTTATCATGGTTACCAGCCATAGCAAGTTATATATCATATATATATATCCAAAATAATATATCTTAATAATCAGATCACCTCTGTTTTCTATATTTAGCGAAGGAATAAATAAAAGTTTCTGATTTTGTAAATACTCTGAGGGTCGTCTTCCTTCCTTCCTTCCCCTCCCCAGAAAAGACTCCCACACAAGCAGCGCCACACAGTTTTGTAGACTACGAAACACCAAAGATAACCTTTTCTCAATATCTCTGTCCAGTTCCCACACTGCCTTCCTCAATGCGAACCCTGGCGACAATCCGCTGAGCTGGTCCTCCGCGCTAGCTGCTTTGCGACGAATGGGGTTTGCGCATGCGCAAACCCCATTCGTCGCAAAACAGCTTGCGCAGGCGGCCGGCTTGGCACACTGCGCCCCTCCCGTCAAGTCCTTTCCAAATCACTTTCCAAAAACCTTCCCCTCCTCAGCCAGATTCCTCCCTTAACGCCTCTCAAATACATGCTGCTTCTTTTCGTTGTCGCCCTGCGTTCTGGTTAAATGCGAAATCTAGAATCAAAAATTGTATTTTGGCACTTTTGTTTATGTCTTTTTAAAAAAAAGACTTTTAAAATGCTGCATCTCAAATGCGTTTTACATATATCTTCTCGGTCTACGGGTGTAGTTGCGAAGGGACAGCCGTTTCCCGCTCTCCCGTTCCACCTTCCACGCTAACTACAGGAGGGGGAACTCATAGGAGACATTTGGCACTAAGTTACCGTCTTTGATCAGACGCAGAGAACTTGAATTCTTCTCCCTGATGAAAAACTGATTGACAGATGCATTGCTGGCGTCAGGGGAGAATATTTTATTGCACCTAACTCTGCAGATTTGTCTGGAGCAGGGGCGGGAGCGAATGCTTTCTTAACCATTCCTTGGGTACATCCACAGCACATATTTAAACCAGCTGCCATGTTGGATGAACGGTCATGGCTCCGAACTGGGGGACTCTGGGAACTGTAGTTTTGTGATGAAGCCGAGGGAGGATACGCAACAGTGAAAGCTCAAAACTGTTGTGTCCGGTAGGGTTCCCATCTGCCCGCTTATGGCGGGAGACCTCCCGCCAATTGCAGCCCTTGTCAGACGATGCTCAGCTAATTGGCGGGTGGAAACGGGGGCCAAGAGAAGGGGCACAATAGTCCTGGGGAGTATTTTTTTTTAAAAAAAACATAAGCCCACGTCTACTTACAGGAAGTTCTGATCCTTACCACAGAGTTTCTGGCAATTGCTAGAGCTACCTTTTCCACTTCTGGGTAGCTCTAGGAATCGCCAGGAACTCTATGGCGAGAACCTCCAGCAAGTGCAGAGGTCTTATTTTTCTTTTCAGTTTTCTTCCCGAGACACTGCCCCCTGATAACCTGCCTCCAGAATAGTCTCTGGGAATTATTCAGGTAGGTGAATCACGTTAGTTTGAAACCAGCCTCAAACCGATTTAAATCTGTCGTACAAACCTCACAAGGATTACTCAGCACTTCCACTGAACTACAGCCCCCCAGTTCTTTGACAATTGAAACTGATTCCAAACTAGCTTAATACCTGTAGTGTGGAGAGACCCAGTGTTCGGTGCTGTCGCACATGGCCAAGGATTGTCCTTGGGGTGGTGGGGTGCTCTTTCCAGGGAGAAGGTGGGAAACTGGACGGGCAGACCGCACAAACCACAACACGACGCCTCCATGTTTGTGACGCCGCAGCTAGTTGTCTGGGACGGGTGGATCCCAGCCTGGCTGACGTACGGTGCCTTCCTGAACTGCTACAACCAGGGCCCTAAAAATGGTGCCCGGGCTTCTGAAATCAAAGCTGTCTGGATGAGCCAGGTATTGTATCATCTACCAGTAGGATGTCATTCACCATTAACGCGGTCCTCTCGAACGACATAACCCACCCCCTGTCTTCCTATCGGAGAGTGCACTGCATACAGAGGTCATTTCGGGGGGGATCGCAGTTCCCCCGGGTGAGGTACAGGGGGCAGGGCACATGACGAAGCCCCCCCCCACTTCCGGCCGCCCTGCTTCCGGCCCTCATTCAGCCAGGAGGAGGCAGGAGAAGAGGGAGAGTAAGTTGCTTTCTCCCTGCCTCTCCCCACCCCTGCCTGCCTGGGGCCAGGGAGGGCCTTTGCGGGGCTTCCTTGCACTCCCGCCGGCCTTGCAGGTCCACCGCCGGGCCCCTCATGGGGCTCGGCAGTGGAGCTGCAAGGCTGGTGGTGGCGGCCGGGACCGTTGGGGGCGGGGTGTGTGGCCTTATGACACACTTCCGGTGATGTCAGGGGGTGTGGCATATGCGAATGAGTTATGCTAATGAGTCCCCCCTAGCTCTTTTTCTACGAAACGACCCCTGACTGCATAGACACGAAGCCGCAGAGAAGTGTTGGCAGGTGGCTGAGGAGACCTGTGAGGCGAATGACCTTTTTATGCCTCTAGGCCTTTCCTAGAGAACTCCGTCCCAAGTCTCTAGAGCCCGCCGCTCCTGGCTCAGCCCACGCAAATCCCCCTGGTTCCACACCTGAGCCTCCAAAGCTCTCGTGTGACCCCCACTCGCTTTCAGGTTTATACAACAAGTGCCTTCAAAGGCATGGCAGACGTGTGCATTTCGCTTGGGCCCGGCTGGCGTCATGGCCGAAAGCGAGCTGGCCTCCGAGGACGTGGGACCCAGGCTGTTCCCTCCGAAACCTTTCCGGTGACACACCCCACGGGAATGACCTTGCCTGTGCATGGGGGGGGGGAAGCGGCCAGGCTAGCCGCTCGCTTCCCCTCCTGGCCTCAAGCACGGCCCTTCGTCTGCCAAGGCCCGGAGAAAGGTAGCAGTGTCTCCCCTCCAACACAAACACTCCACGGAACAGGCTCCCTATTTAGGCCGCCGCGCGACGCTTTGCTTAGCCTCCATTCCGGCCTGGCTCTTTGGCACGAGGAAGGGCCCGTTCTCTCCTCCTAACAGCCGGGCCTCCTCTGGTTACCTCACCGGGCCGGAAAACACCCAGGAGTCTTTTCCTCGCATGTGCTTTGATTGGCTTGAAGGACGGAATAACCCCAAATCCTAAACACGCTTACGGGAAGTAGGTTTCACCGGTTCCAGAGGAACTTCCCCATCAAGATACCCGCTATCACTCAGTTCCTACTTGGAAGTAAGGGCTCCCCCCCCCCTTCCAAGGTTACCACAGCGATGTGGGAGTCACAGCTCCTTCTCAAGCCGCTCTGGTAACACCGAGATCATGTCGCAGGCGTCTCTGACGTGGCTACCGCCCACATGCGCCACAGCGGCTTCTGCATTGCTGAGGTAATGTAGGAAACCAGCCCCCCAAGGAACCCTGAAATGAGTAGGCTCAAGGAGGGGGGGTGTTTGTCTTTGGGAAGGCTCTTCGGAGTTCATCTCTCACGTCCTGTCTCTAGAACGCATGGAACCTGCCTGCGGCCTCTGAGGAATTCCCAGTGGCCTGTGCGAGAGGAGAGTCACGGGGCCTTATCATGTTGCTAGCCCAAGTCATTCGAAGCCAAGGCGTTCCCGTCCCCCATGGGGTTCAGACGGTCCTTCCGTTTTAAGGCCGCTCCTCCAGTGGAGGCCCGCACTGAACAAACAGAGCTTGTGCCGCAAGAGATGTGCATGTACGGAGACGTACCACGCTCTCCAACCCTTTTCTGCCACCAAATTTTAATTCAGCACCAGAAGTTCAGGGCTGCCTGCGCCTCCTGGGCTGGACCTTCACAGATTCCCTCCTGCTAAAGTTCTCACTTTCCCCCGATGCAAGAAGCCTTCCCTGTTTCAAGAGAACCCCCGCCACGGACCTGTTCTTTAGCGCCGCATGCGATGTGCACGGGGGAAACGCCGCACAAAGCTTTGCGTTCTGCGGTTTGTTTCTTTCGCACACGGCTGGTTTTGTGTTACAACACCAAACCAAGAACATGGAAATCCACTCCCACCCCCCAAGTGGACATGCCTCAGCTCTCCTTGATAGACTCGGGTAAGATGCCCCCTTCCTCCTAAGATGCGGGCCCAGAGGTGTAAAGCCCGGATACGACACCTTTTACATACCCCCCCTCTCTCAAGCACGCACAAAATAAAAGGAACAGGACTTTCTCAGCATCGTCCTTCCGACGTGGCTCTGTCTGCTCGGCGACTTTCTCGTGCCCTTTGCTGGCACCCCATTCCGCCCCCCCTCCCCCGCTTGGAAAGTCGAAAAAAGGAGAGGGGAAAAGTCACAAGCGCCCCAGGGCCCTCTAGAAGCGATAGCCTGGCAGTTATTTGAGAAAATGCAAACCCTGCTGCTTATTAAGACACACGAAAAACACACACACACACGCGCACACACACACACAGATACCATGCAAGTGATCCTTTGCGGCAGCAAGAGGAGACGCAAACCGTTACGGCCCAGCTTCTTGAAAACAGGCGCCGGGAAAGTGTTCTCTGACCGGACCGCGGAGCCGCGAGCCGCTCCCCTCCCCTCAAAGGCTGCCCCCACAGTTTTCCCACTTCTTCCGGCAGCGTCTTTGTCCCAGTTTGTCCCAGCCACTGAGTTTCCGTCAGATGTGTCATCCACACGCACACGTACATTATTGTAAGGGGACCCCACCGCCGAGCACCAGGAGTGGGAGGGTCGGTGGGACGGGTTTGACAACTCCTGTGGGGTGGAGGGTCCGGAGGGGTGGGGGCTGGCCCACCCCGGCAGTCTGACTGAGTCATGCCACGGTACGAGAAAGAGAGCGGCGTGCCCGGAACGTGGGGCAAACTCTCTTCAACCCGCCTTCGTGTAAACAGTGCACAAAATCCGAATTTTCACTTCACTGAAGGGAAGACGGTTTGGCCTGGTTCGTTTCCTGTTTCTTGACACACGCACACGCACCCTTAAATCACAGCAGCTCCAAATCCTGGTTTCTTGAACGTCGACGAAACGCAGGACGTATTTACAGTCAAGTGCGGAGCTCCCTTCCTTTTGGATCGCGCTTCCGTGATGTACTCGAAAAAGTCCGTTTCTTCATAAACCGGGGTTTCGTTGGCTGGTTCCCCACTGGAGATTTCTTCTTGCCTATCCACTAGACCCTAAGATACCTGCCCTTAGATGCCGTAAGATACTGCCGGGATGTAGGGGAACTCTCCCGTTTCTGCCATCGCCCCAAATATATCCTCTCCTCCGCGTGTGCAAGAAACCCAGTAATTCTTGGAATCCGTTTCTGACATTAACTGTAAGATAAGCAAACCTTTACGGACGTGGAAACGGAGATGGGTTAACGAGGCGGGGAGACAGAGGGGAAGGACGGGGGGTGGGGAGGGAAGGAAATGGAAAAGTCACAAAACATCTCCGGGGACCCTCAGCGCAAGGAGGGGGGTGGGATTCATTGCCCAGTTTGCCACTGGTCCAGCCGCGGTCGCTCCGTCACGGCCGGCGGTCTCGCTGCAGACCCCTCCCCGTCATCTAGATGGTCGAGGTTCTGTCAACGCCATCTGCAAGATTTTGAAGGTAGTTAGAAAAGGACCGTGCCCCTCGGGCGTGCCGCAGGATGGCTTGGGTGGGGTAAAGGCCGTGAGAGGAGTCATCCATCCAGGAGCCCCCTCCCCAATAAACCGGGTAAAGTAGATAGGAACATTAAGAGCATCAGAAGAGCCCTGTGGGATAAGACCAGTGGTCCGTCTAGTCCAGCATCCTATATCTAGGGCCTTCTCAGTGGCAGCTCCATACTGGTGGGACGAGCTCCCAGAGGACAGCAGGGCCCTGCGGGACCTTCTACAGTTCTGCTGGGCCTGCAAGACGGAGCTCTTCCACCAGGCTTTCGACTAGGAGCCGCCACTGAACGAGTTACTGAACATCTATTACTGGCACTTTCTTTGGGATACTTGTCTAGTCATACGGGGCCAACGACAACGATCGCCACCTGCACTTTATCGTTTGTATTTAATCTGCACTTTATATTTTATTGTTAGAATTTTATCCGTTTTTATTGTAAATTATTATTGTACGCCACCTTGAGCCTGCTTGTCAGGCAAGGCGGGATAGAAATCGAAATAAATAAATAAATAAATAAATAAATAAAATATCACACAATGGCCAACCAGCAGCGCTGACAAACAGGGCCTAGAGGCCAAGACCTTTCCCTAAAACTGGTCTTCAGAGGCTTACTGCCTCTGAACATGGAGTTTCCCTTTAGTCAGCCACTGATGGGCCTATTGTCCATGAACCTGTCTGACCCCCTTTAAAGCTATCTGTGCTACTAACAGAAGAGATTGGATTTATACACCGCCCTTCACTATCCGAAGGAGTCTCAGAGTGGCTTACAATCTCCTTCCCCTCCCCACAACAGACACCCTGTGAGGTAGGTGGGGCTGAGAGAGCTCTCTCGAGGACCGCTCGTGAGAGAACAGCGCCGAGAGAACTTGTGACTGACCCAAGGTCACACCAGCAGCTGCATGTGGAGGAGTGGGGAATCAAACCCGGTTCTCCCAGATTCGAATCACTGCTCCTAACCACTACACCAAACTGGCTCTCTCCTTTACCCAAGTACTCCGTTTTGTCTTTCCTAAACTTAGGTAAAAAGGGAAAGGTTTCCCTTGCTTGAAAGCCAGTTGAATCCAACTCTACGGGGTGTGCTCATCTCTGTTTCCAAGCTGAAGAGCCAGCGCTGTCCACAGACGTTTCTGTGGTCACATGGCCAGCACACAAATACCTTCCCGCCGAACCTATCTATCTACTTTATCTATTTATCCCACTGCACGATACCTATTTATCTACTTGCAATTCCTTGTTTTCGAACTGAACTTATTCCCCTTATTTCAATTTCACTGGGTGCCTGAGTTCTATTATTATTTTGTTTCATACATACTCACCTTATTTCTATACTGTGCGTAATTCTAGGAACTTCCATCATGTTCCCTATTAGCCATCTTTCACCCCCCTAAACAGAAAAGACCCATCTCCTTTAGCCTTTTCTCATAGGAAAAGAAGTACATCTTCACCCAAAGAGTGATTAACAGATGGAATTCACTGCCACAGGAGGTAGTGGCAGCTACAAGCATGGACGGCTTCAAAAGGGAACTAGATAAACATATGGAGCAGAGGTCCATCAGTGGCTATTAGCCACAAGGTATAGATAAGAACTCTTGGTCTGGGGCAAGGGATGCTCTGTATTCTTGGTGCTTGTGGGGGGCAACATTGGGAAGGCTTCTGGTGTCCTGGCCCCACTGGTGGACCTCCTGGTGGCATCTGGTATTTCTGGCCACTGTGTGACACAGAGTGTTGGACTGGGTGGGCCATTGGCCTGATCCGACATGGGCTTCTCTTATGTTCTTATGTAAAGTACTCCAGTCCCTTAAGCGTCTGCACTTTTCCCAGCCCTGCAGTGTCCTTTTCGAGACATGGTGACCGGAACGCTACACAGCATTCCAAATGACATTTATACAATTTTGAGAGGGTAGCTGGTTTGGCCTGCGGTAGAACACTCAGATTCGAGTCCAGTAGCGTCTCAGAGACCCACAAGAAGAAGAAGAGGAGATTGGATTTATACCCCGCCCTTCACTACCCAAAGGAGTCTCAGAGCGGCTTACAAACTCCTTCCCCTTCCCCTCCCCACAACAGACACCCTGTGAGGTAGGTGGGGCTGAGAGCTCTGACAGAAACTGCTCTTTTTCAAGAACAGCTGTGCCAGAACTATGGCTTGCCCAAGGTCACCCAGCAGGTGCAAGTGGAGGAGTGGGGAACCAAACCTGGTCCTCCCAGATTAGAGTCCATGCTCTTAACCACTACACCAAATCCTCAGGACTGCATGCCGATGTGTACGTAACAGTTTACCTATCACGATGCATGCAGGTAGCATGCATTTTTTTTTCCAGCGCTAGGCCATGTTTGTGATGGCAAATAACGTGAAACGTTGGCTGTTTCAAAAGGCAGGGAAAGACAGGCTACCTGAAGGAGTCTCAGAGTGGCTTACAATCTCTTTTCCCTTCCCGTCCCCACAACAGACACCCTGTCAGAGGGAGGTGGGGCTGAGAGAGCTCTTTCCAGAACTGCCCGTGAGAGAACAGCTCGGAGAGAACTTGTGCCTGACCCAAGGTCACACCAGCAGCTGCATGGGGAGGGGTGGGGAATCAAACCCGCTACTCCCAGATTAGAGTCCATGCTCTTAACCACTACACCAAACTGGCTCTCAAACTGGCACAGGGAGCTTTGACTCAACAACAAATACCTTTTATTGGCATAAAATATTAAACAGTTGCCATTGGGGTAAAACAATCCTATAAAATTTGTGGATAATAAATAACTTCTAAAAGCATTACAAGGTATGGCTATTTATATAAGCTTAAAATTATAGCAAGATAAAATTTGCCCAACCGCAGAACCTTGAATTAAATTATGCAACTCGTTGATCTCAATTAGAATGATCAGGGACATTTTTCCGTTTTATAAGAGCATAAAAGAACTTGGCAGTCAATTCAATAATCTCCGAATCCCGGGAAGTAAGGAGGTAGTGTAGCTTGCTTCCATCCGGTTGGCATGCAACCTTGCTAAGGGGGACTTCCAGAAATTTTGCTCGAATGTCATTTAGCAGGTTACAGCGTAAAAGTACATGCTCAACTGTTTCTAGTTCTCTCTTATTGCATCCGCAATATCTAATTGCATAAGGGATTTTCTTATATCTCCCCTCAAGAATGGCGGAGGGGAGAACATTGAACCGTGCTAGCATGTAAGCTCTGCACAATTGCGGTGATATCAGGGAGAAAAAATATTGTGGTGGAAGGGAGCTTTGACTCTTGAATGCTTATACCCTGAATATCTCGTTGGTCTCGAAGGTACTGCTGGATTTGAACCGAACTATTTCTGTGTGATAAGTGTGGTCGAGTCACAAAGTGTGGTCAAGTCACTTCCGACTTAACAGTGGGCCCCTAAGAACAGAAGAACATTATAGAGGCAATACTGATCCACACCAGCAGGTGGCGATGTATCACAGCAAGCCCCCCCACCCCCGGGGAAATTAGTCTGTATCCCTACCGCATCCTCTGTGTGGATACACCTTTAAAGATAAAGCAGGGTTTAGTCTCCTTAAATGTTTAAGTTATTATTCTCCTGCTCCCCTGGTTCGGATCAGAGGTGTGAAAGGGGGCCAAAAAAAAAGGGGGGGGGGGGGGGCTGCAGGCTGGCTCCCTGGTTTTCATTCCAAGGGTTATCTCCAATAAAGGTAGTGAACGTTTTGGGGAGCGCCGAAAAGAAACGACTCCTGTGGAATGTTTTCTCTTTTGGAATGTGACCGTGGTGTCGTCTCCTGCCAGGCAGATATCTCTTTTGGAACGTGAAGCGCTTCTGAGGGCTTAGATATGTAGCGTGCAGATATTTAGGTAAGACCATCTACAGCATTACTGCACACATTTTCGCCCAGTTCGGTGTAGTGGCTAGGAGTGCGGTCTCTAATCTGGGAGAACCAGGTTTGCTTCCCCACAGGCAGCTGCTGGTGTGACCTTGGGTCAGTCACAAGTTCTCTCGGAGCTGTTCTCTCAGGAGCCATTCTAAAGAGAGCTCTCTCATCCCCGCCTACCTCACAGGGTGTCTGTTGTGGGGAGAGGAAGGGGAAGGAGTTTGTAAGCCGCTCTGAGACTCCTTCGGGTAGTGAAGGGTGGGATATAAATCCAATCTCTTCCTCTTCTACTTCTTTGATGGAAGAAATTAAGATACACGTGCTAAGGTAGCACAGAGCGTAGCAACTGGCGTCTCTCTATCCACAGTTCTGCCTGTTCAAAACATTCCCCCCCCCCATGGAATCACAGCCGACTTATGGTGTCCCTGCAGGATTTTCAAGACAAGAAGAAGAGATTGGATTCGTACCCCGCCCTTCAGTACCCGAAGGAGTCTCAGAGCGGCTCACAATCCCTTCCCCTCCCCACAGCAGACACCCTGTTAGGGAGCTGGGGCTGAGAGAGCTCTGAGAGAACTGCTGCTGAGAGAACAGCTCTGAGAGAACTTGTGACTGACCCAAAGTCACACTAGCAGCTGCATGTGGAGGAGTGGGGACTCAAACCCGGTTCTCCCAGATTAGAGTCCGCGCACTGAACCACTACGCCAAACTGGCGTTCAGAGGTGCTTTGCCATTTCCTGCCTCTGTATTGTGACCCTGGACTTCCTCAGTGGTCTCCCACCCAAGAACTACCCAAGACTGGCCCTGCTCAGCTTCCGAGATCTGACAAGACTGGCCTTTCCTGGCCCTCGAAGCCAGGGCATTATAATCGTGTGCTATTATCCATCTGCCCATCCATCATCCATCCATCCATTCCTCATCTGTCTGTGTATCCATCATCCATCCATCCATCCATCCATCCATCCATCTCTATCTATCTCTATCTATCTATCTCTATCTATCTATCTCTATCTATCTATCTCTATCTATCTCTATCTATCTCTATCTATCTCTATCCATCCATCATCTATCTATCTATCTATCTATCT